TGGAGGCCGGCATGCTGCTGCAATGCTGAGTGGGTTACGGCAGAGCGTCCGGACTGAGACAGAGGAGGAAGAAAGGCCTGGCTGTCTTAGGAAAATCAGCCAATCCCTGAAAGGCCTATGGATCAAAAAGTCTCAATCTACTGCTGCTCCTACAAACCAGCAATCGTTGGAGTTCTGTCTCCGGATGGTGTCCATCTTCCCCTGTGTGTGTGTGTGTGTGTGTATGTGTCTGCCCTTTTCACAGCTTGAAAGTGATGAGGGTTAGGACCCTTCCTACACTGTGGGATTTCATTAACATAACAAACTCTGTTCCCAAACAAGATCCCGCCCAGGGCCTGTGGAGGGCACTGTCAGCCACCGGGAGTCAACTCCTGCTTTTGGCAGCTCCCTGTTGACAGAGAAGCATGGCGCTGCGGCGGGATCTCCTGGCTGTGACTGTTTGGAAGCAGGTAGCCAGGCCTTCCTTCCCAGGCACTTCTGGGGAGCCTCAAACTGCCAGCCTTTCAGTTAACAGCTGATCGCATTTACCGTCAGCCACAGGTACAGGGGTTAGGACGTGAATATGTGCTGTGGACGACACAGTTCCAACCACAGCCCTCGCCACGGCCTGTCGCATGCCACTATGTAAGATGCACCCGGATGTGGTTGGGGGAGGAGGCAGGGGCCTGGGGGACTCACAGCCGGACGAGGAACGGGTGGCTGACTTCCTCCAGGACCGCCTTCTCGTTGTGAACGTGCTGCTCCTGTTTCAGGCGGATGACGTCTGGAATGCTCATCACCTTGAGGGCATAGAAATGCTTGGCCGCCTTCTCACGGACCAGGTGCACCCGACCAAACGTGCCTGTGCCTGCGAGGAGCAAGGAGAACCGTCAGCAACGGGGAGGGGACACAGGGCAGTGAGGTCAAGATGGGGCTGCAGGGTATGGCACCCCGGCATCACAGCCAGTATGAGCTGGGGTGGAGTTTATTGAGCCTGTGCCCGAGGGAAGTGTTCAACTGAACACACGTCTCACCAAAACATACGCACACTCACATCACAAACACACCACCCACA